GATGTGTCTGTGAGCCTCCTGCTGAATGACGTTTTCCCCTTCTCAGTCCTGCCACCAGTATCAGAGGACACCCGTGACACCATGCCAGTGTCACCACTGGAAAACAAAGACGTGGCTTCTACCCGAAGACTCGGCCCGGCACACCCTGGTTTCAATGACATTTCCTCCTCTTTTGCTCCCGCAGAGAACCCAATGCATAGGTGCCACTGCCCAAAGCTGTCTTTGTCACGGTGACCTCACCCTGGCATCAGAGTGACTGTGAGGAAGAAAGCAGCTGCCACTTCCGGGTTCCACTTTATTTATTCATTCTCATGACAGCCTTTCCCCACCCCCTACTGCAGCCAATCCTTCCCAGTTTAGGGCAAAACATTTCTGAAATCCACCCACCTCTCCCCCTCTCCTCGGCCTCACCCTACTCCAAGCCAGGGCCATCTACGGCTCAGATGCCTACAGCACCCCACCCCACCCAGGCCAGACCAGGTTCAAGTTTATTCTCCACTCAAATCCCACAGCATACGGAATCGTGAAGAAGCAACTTGCCCAGAGAAACAATAACATAAATGCCCAAAATTATTCCTCTCTGGAAAAAAAAAAACCCACAGCAATCTTTGACAAATTAGGTCATCACACCTTTTGCTTTCAATCCTCAGTGGTTTCTGAATTCTTTTTTTTTTCTTTCTTTCTTTCAGTTAAGTATTGAACTCAAGGCCTCTTCCACGCTAAGAAAGCACTCTACCATTGCGCTACAAGCTCAGCCCTTTCCACTTTTCCAGCAGGGTCTCAGCACGTTGCCTAGGCTGGCCTTAAACTTAACCTCCTTCCTCAGCTTCCTGAGCAGCCAGATTATAGCTTGGGCCACAACACAACACCTGGCCACTCTTGTTAAACAGAGCCATGCCTTCCTCTTCAACCTCATCTACAACATCTTGCAGTCTCCCAGGCACTCCTGTCCTAGGGCCTAGGAGTACAGGCTGAGGCTCTCCCACAACGCTCTCCCTCCCCTCATTCCTCACCAGAATTTATTCTTCAGGTACCGCCTCCCATGATCTCTCTCCCCCTCCCTCCCGCCTCCATCTCTCCCTCCTCTCAGTTTTCTGAGATGAAGTCTCATTATGTTGCACTGGCCGGCCTCATATTTCCACACTCCAACGATCCTCCTGCCTCAGCCTTCCAAGTAGCTGCAATCACAGGCATGCACCACCCACGAGGCTTTTAAATCTCCTTTAAATCACACCCCTCCTCCTCTCTTCTATGATACCTCCACAGTCCTCATCACCAACACATGATTATTTATGTGTGTTCAACTTGTTTAAGGTCTCCTCCCAGCCAGGCCCAGTTTCCCAAGAGCCAGGATCACACGAGTCTGGTCCACCACTTCTTACATTGCAAACCCAGCACCCACATACAACAGGTGTGAAAGAAATCATTATGAAAAGACTGCGGGGGGGGGGGACAGAACCACCTGCACCCCGCATGAAGGGACGGTGACTTGATGTCCTTTCCCTCTTGGTGATTTTGTCCCATTGCCAGAGCGAGGTAGGGCTGCTTATTCCAGGTCCAAATTGGTGCTGAGCACTGAGTTGTTTTCTACACCCCGGCAGGAGGGAGGAGTTGTGGCTGCCTAAGAGATGGGAGGGTTTCCAGTACTATCTCTAAGGGAAATTCCAAGAAACAAAAAAAAACTTCACTGGTCACATTGCTTGAATTTTCCTACCTGTTCATAAAAAAACCTCAAAATGCACAAGTCTAAAGTTACAAACACAAACCCTGCTGGCTTATCACTTCTAAATGTGGGGATGGGGTTACTGGGAACTGAACTCACAACCTCATGCTTGCTCCCTATCCTTTCTAAATTGTAGATCCCTAAGTCATTTCTCAGCATCTAACTCTCCCAGAAAACACTTATCAAAAACACTTCTTTTTAATAAATCAGAATTTTCCATCAATTACTTATTTCGGTCTCTTACTATACTGACAATCCCTCGGGATATCCAACTCCATTCATATACCGCCACATTCCCTCTTGAGCCTTCAACTCACTTTTCTCCATATCTGCAGGACTTCTACAATATTAAGTTTCATGATACTGAATTGCTTAGTGGCCTTCAAGTCACCAGATCAATGTTGTCTTTAAGAGATTATTTCCCAAAATTCTGTTGATCTTAGAATCCTAAGAAAAAAAATGTTTTTATTCATCCAGGGTCCCAAACTACATGAGACTGGATTCTATGTTTTGCTCACCTGGCTGAACAGTGCCTAGATTCCTGTCTGTACTGTGGGCGTGGTACTTACCTGATTCCCACTTAGCCAAGACCCACTGGGGCCCAGGGCTTTAATGATGTGTAAGATGTGTAAGTGCGAGATCAATTTATTTCCTTTTTTTTTCTACCTTAAGGCCAAATATTCTTCCCTAGTAAATGTATCCTATCTTTCAGTCTGTTTGGTATTTTAAAGGTCATCACACTAAAATTTGAGTCCAGCAAATTTGGACTCCAAATATATCTGATGGGGGCTAAAATAAATGGAGATATTAGCAAAGTACGTAAGGGGGATGACAATGGGCAATTAACCCAGGACCTTTGCACTGAGCTACATCTGTAGCCCTTTTTATCTTGAGACAGGGTCTTGCTAAGTCACTAAATTGGCCAGGCTAGGATCCAACTTTTGATCCTCTTGCCTCAGCCTCCCAGAGCGTTGGAATTAGAGGTGTGAACTGCAACTGGCACACAGCTGGCCTATCACACTAATGGCTCTAGAGTTTCAGCATCTGAACCCATGACCAAAGTCATGCTCTACTGAAGCAACTCTTCTTTGCTAGAGATGAAGACACAGATGAACACACCCATCCAAACAAACATATGCGCCTACACACTCACAATCTATAGAACAAGATTTGAGCTTTTGTTTTGCTTTTGGTTTTTAATCTTTAAGGTGGGGCCAAACTATTAATAACTAGTTCCAGCGACTTTCCTAGCCCAAGCAGTTTCTTTCTGTTAAAACGTCCATCTCTCAGTGTTTATCTTGTTCTCCAGATCTCAGCTATCTTGGGCACCCTGGTGATATATTCAACATCAGACAGGATGTGTTTAAATGAGTTCCCCCAGCACCTTGGAAAGTCCCAGGAGGTGGTAGATGGAAAGCTTGCAATTTAGCCTGCCATACAGAAGCAAAGAAGCCTTCCACTATACTTATAATAAAAATCCATTAACTAAGCGTCATTTTCCTGCAAGTCAATTCTGTGACTAAGTGGTAATCAACTCATAAGAAAGAGAAGAAGCCATGTATGTTCAGAATTACCTTGGAGAAGATATGAAAAATGCCGATGCAGAGAATAAGCCCTTCCTGAAAAAGCTCAAGAGGTTTTCTTTCTTTTTTGGGGGGCGGGGGGGGGGGGGAGAAGGGTCCCGGGGAATCGAACTCATAACCTCGTGCTTGCCAGGCAACTCAGAAGGTTCTCTCCTCTCACACAGCACTGTAAATCTTTGGGATCCTTACAGTGTTATCATTAGTTCAGGAACCCAGAAATACCTTGCATGCACTAATTAAGTCTAGCAATGTGTCCTGTCCATCTGTAAATAGGGAAACTGAGGTGTTTAGAAACAGAGCAACCCAACAGTGAGTCAGGACAACAGTAGACACCAGAGTCAGGACTCTGGAACTCACATCTCTGGCAGGAGATACAGTTTGTCTTTCAAGGGGATGCAGTGGTCACATATAAAACAGAAGGCAAAGACGGAAGTGAATATCCACACATCTTGGGACGGGTAGGACAAAAGACAGCCAACAGCCAACAATCCAAGGCTTCAAATGTCATTTAATCAGATGGCAAATTAGCATTGCTTCAGCCCCTCCTTAGTAAAGACACTACTTACCTTCTGGCTTGCAAGCTGATGCTATCAGATACCCTATCCATTTTCACATCAAGACCGTCTACTTTTTTTTCCATCTGATTTGAATTCAGAAATGCCTATTCATCTTAGGACAAATAAGTGAACCAGATATTCCATTTGCAAGCACACAATGCTTAAACGGAACCTATCCTAAAGTAAAGAGCATGGTAACTACAATTCCTCTGGCTTTTCCTGTCTCCCTCACAAGTAAAAGTTCACATAGTCTGTATATCTAAAATACACAAAGTGAATCATTATGCTTCATGAACCGGAGGGTTTTTGGTGCCAGCATAACTGTTGGCACAGTGAAGGTCAAGCAAAAGAACTAGTTAGACTAATCAAGGCTGGCTTTGGTATATGAGATAGACATAATCACTGGTATATGAGATAGACATAATCAAATTTCATTGGTTTAAGCACTGCCCTTTCCAAACTTGTGAAAGAAAACCAATAAATCAATAACACTGGGGTGAACTGAGTTTTGCCAACTTTCCCAGTGGAAGCAACTACCCCGACAGACATCCCTCCCCTGGGAAGCAACATTGAACTGAGAGAAGCACCGCTGGCCCAAGGGCAGACACCTGAACCATACACCACTGGCATTCCTACTTTGGGACCCGCAAACACCAAACTTTCTAGCATTGTTTTTGTAGAAGCAAATTCTTTTCACCAAACGCCAAGGCAAGTGGGGGCAGGGTGGGCATTTCCCCATGCCTGCCTCGGTCTCTGGGGTTAGCATCTAAGGCTTGGGGGGGAGGAGGGGAGTGGAGTCCAGCTAATCTCCCCTGAGCTCCCCTGACCAGACGCTCCCCGCAGCCCTTGGTCAGTTTCTCAGATCAAACTGTCCGGATCGGTGAAACACCTACGAGCTTTCCAAATGAATTAATGCGTGCAGCACACACACTAGCCCTTCCTAATAAGAAGCATTCGCCTGCCCACGTATAGTTTCAATTCATCAAAAATTCATTTAGTGCTGAGCGAGTGCGGAGCGTTTGAGAAGTGCCCTGCAGATTCAAAACTGCGCCTGGTTTCCCAAAGCCCCAGCAATCGAAGAGCTGGGCGGGTCTGGTGCTCTCCCCGCCCGCCCCGGCCTGACCGGCCCGGACTCACTGAGTCTTCCGGCGGCCCTGGTCCTGGTACAGCTCTCGCAGGTCCACCTCGGCGCGGCCCAGGAACTTGTCGAGGCCGAGAAGCGCGCGGTGCTGCACGGTGAGCTGCAGGGTGGCGGCAGCCGCGGGCACTGCCTCGGAGGACAGAAGCGGGGGCAGCTCGAAGGTGGCCTCTTCGCGCCACACAGGCGCGCCCAGGCTGCGCTCGGACACCGAGGTGGCGTACTTCTCCTTGCCCACCTGGATCACCGCGTACGCGTCGCTCGTGCCCCCGGGACCCTTGGCCCGCAGGCCCCGCGCCTGCAGCACGGTCACTTGCACATGGGTGGGGGACCACGCGGCTCCCAGGCCCCGGCCGGCGGAGGCCGCCAGCGACATGGTGATGACGACGCCTACCCGGCCTGCACGAACCCCAAGACCAGACGCTCCCCGCAGCCCTCGGTCAGTGAGCCGCAGCTCCACCAGGCCGCTTTAAGGCTTCCGGTCCTGCCCCACTGGCCCAGCCCCGTCCGACCACGCCCATGCTGCCTCGGCCACGCCCCGCGCCGCCCTCCCCACCTGCCCGCGTGGGCTGAGTGGCCTCAGGGGCGCGGTGGGCGGGGCTGGCGCAGGGGCGCAGGGTGCGGAGGTCACGTGGGCGGGGCGGGGCGGGACGCTGGGGATTCTGACCTCAGAGGGGGTCGCGGAGCCGAGGTCCCAGCTGCGGCTGGCCAGGTGGCCAAAGCCCTGGTCTGGGAGGCACGCTTAGTTCCGGGCCAGCCTCCCTAGCAGGTGTGCGTGACCTAGCGCCGGAACTGTTGTTGCAGAGCTGTGAGGTGTGGGAGTTTGGGGCTGGCCCCTGATGACTGCGATGGTGAGCAGGACCCCTCAGTTCCCGCCCGCCCGCGGGGTGATGGGTGTGGAGGGAGGCCGGTGCTGCGAAGATGAGGCTCCTGCAAGGGCCTGAAAAAGGGAAGGAGTGAGGGCCTGTGGGATCTGATGAAATTGCCCTGCCCTCACCATATAAGGCGAGGCCACGTTAGGAAAAACAAAACCAAAAAAAGGAACTGGGAATGGATTGCCAAACCGTGACTCGTGGCCGACCCCAGCCCTCAGTCCTCCTGGGGACTCAGCCCGGGACTCCCCCTCGGCCACTGCCCTTCTTGGGTCCTGGTTGCACACTTGGCTCCTTCCCTGACCCGTTGGACTCCCAGCCTTACTGCTGCTTGTCTGAGGGCCCCTTCCTGACTCCTCCTCTGCCCGCTGTCCTGGGTTTGCCCCGCACAGCAACAGTATGGGCAAACCCATTGAGCCTGAGTCTGATAGTGATGGATGTTAGGGGGAGCCTGGCAGAACACTTGGTTTTGGTACCATTTCCCTTTTTGACAACCCATTATTTATTCAACTTCCTGGCTCGATTCCTTTCCACAAAGATTCATGGAGAAAGCACCTTGTGCCAGGCATGTGCTGGGTACTTCAGGGCCAAAGGCTGAATGAGACTCAATTCCAAGGCATACACAACTTGATCATACAAAAGAAGTCTTCTACTTTGAAACCACTTTGGGTGTGTTGAGAAGAGAGGGTCTCAGGGGTAGAAGAGACCTGAAACAGCGTTTCCAGGCAGGACAGCCCCCCAGAGCAGAGCTGTGGGGCCTGAGTCAGAACTGTCACTGCCCCCACCCCCACCCCCACCCGGGCCTGGAATTTAGAATATTACAGGAGGGCTCGACCGCCCCTCCCGTCTTCCTCTTGGTTGCCAGCCTGCCTGACACAGACCAGCTTCCCGACAGTCAGACAGTCAGTCAGCGTGTGAGGTCAGCGCTGGCCCTGGGCGCACGTTTTTCAGTGCTGCTCGCACAGTGGAAAGTGCAGGGTGAAGCCTGCCCGGCAGACACTGGGCTGAGCAGAAACCAGCTCCTCTTCTGCTCCTGGGAAGGCCTGTGCAAAGGGAGGGGAGCAGGAGAGGAAGGAAAAATCACCAGCCGTCTGTGACCTCATGAGTTTGGGTTTCTGTTAGCCCAGACTCTTGCAGAGGCCTAGGCCATTTCCCCATGCTGCAGCACCTCTCTGCGCCCCAGTGCACTGTCCTGCAGTCCCTGAGACCGACTAAATCTGTCTTCTCTTGATTTTGTAGCCCTCTTTCTGGGTTGGGAGGCACACAGGCATGGTGATGTGGGCAGTGACCAGGTTGGCAAGGGGTGAACCCCCCACCCTCCACCCGCAGGGCCCCTCCAGGCTGAGTGTAAATAGCTGTACAGCCTGGGCAGGTGGGTGTGGTAGGCAAATGACTGGGCTTTCCTCCCAGCCCCGCCCACCTGTGGCCAGGCTGAAAGAGGAAGTTTCAGTCGGCCTGAACACAGGGCAAGGTACCTGGCAGGTTAGACTGGACAGGTGACCCACCTGTCCTCTGAAAGTGGCAGAGCAGAGAGCACCTGGACTCCTGGCCACCAGAGTTGCCCTGGGTCTCTGGGCAGCAGCAGGGCCTGGGCAGCTAGGACATCTGGAGAGCAGGTTTGTGTTCAGGCCAGGACTCCCCCATGTGGGACTGTGTGGTCACAGTGAGGATGGAGACAGAAAGGATACCTAACTCAAAAATCATTTCTGGGCAGGGTATGATGATGCACCCTTGTAATGCCACTACTTGGGAGGCTGAGACAGGAGGATTGCTACAAATTCAAGGCCAGCCTGAACTACATAACAAGATCTTGTCTCAGGAAAAATATTTCTGAGGACTTCTAGGTGAGAAATGTGGTATTCCCAAGGGAGGAGCGGAGAGGGGCTGATAAAGGCTCTTGTCTTTCTCCTTTGCCTCTGACTCTGGGGTGTGGTGACAAAAGCCTCACAATGATTCATTCACTGTACTGTTGGCAAATGACAGTCCTGCTGTTCCTATTGCTGGCATGGCGGCATGGCACGGTTGACTGTTCCTGCCTTCCAGGCTGAGGCTGCTTGGAGGACAGGCTGAAACTGTGGCCTGGCAGGAAAGTGCTCCTCTGGGTCCACAGCTGACCCGCGTCCTCCGCACACTGATAGGATGTGTCCCGCAGAGGTGGCACAGATAGGCCCACCGATGTGCCATGTCCTCTCAGAGAAGCTCCCTGCCCCTGAAACTGGCCGGTGGCTCCAGTTAAGCAAAAGGCACATGGGTGACTTTTAAACATTCAGTTTTCAGCCGTCGGGTCCCTGGTGCCACCACTTTGAGCACTTTGTATTTGTTTTGCGAGTACAAGGCAAAGCAGAAGTGGGTCTGGGGGTTGGTTTTGGTGCTGGGGCAGAGCCAGGGCCTTGTGGGTGCTGGTAAGTCCCCCACTGAGCCAAGCTATGCCCCTAGCCCTTTTCTTTTTCACTTTGATACACAGTCTGTAAATGTCCCAGTTGGCTTCGAACTTGTGATCCTGCCTCAGTGTCCTGGGGGTCTAGGATTGCAGTCACGTGCTTGCCTTGGGCCTTCGCATCTGGCTAAAAGCAGAAGTTGTTTTGAGTGTTCATTCCTCTCGGACTTGTCCGTCGGGATGTGCTTTTCCAGGGCCCATTCTCCCCATCCCCTTAACGGTGCCAGCTAGGAGCCTCCATCAGCTGCTGTTCAATGGTTGGGAGCGGGTGTGAGCAGCCCCTCCTCTGCTTTATTCCTCTTTTTTGAGATGGGGTCCCCCGTGTGGCTCAGGCTGGCCTTGAACTTGCTGTATACTCCAGGCTGGCTTGGAACTCATCATCCTCCTGCCTCAGCCTGCTAACTGCTGGGACTTTAGGCTTGTGCCACCACACCCTGCTTCCTCATCTGCTTGATGTCACTGCACATAGACAGGCTGATGACTATGCAGGCTTTAGACCCTGAGGATGAAACTCTTACCTAAGGTTTCACACCAAGGGACAATGCCAGGGATGTCTTCTGCCCATGCATGTGTGTCTCCCCCTATGCACTCAGGTGTAGAAGATTGAACCAGGGTGCTTGTGCACGTGAACACACGCACGGTCAGCAGGTGCTCCATCACTGAGCAGCAGCCCCATCTTCCCTGCGCATCCCCTGTGGTCCCTCCTGGGCATCTCCACCTACTTTCAAGAGCTCTTACCTTACCATCTCAGGATGCACAACACTTCCTAGTCTGTTTGTTCCCCTGGAACAATATTCCCCCAGCACCCACACTCTGAGAGATGCAGCTTTCACTCAAGTCCTTGATCTAGTGGTTAGCGTGTGGTCCACGGGGTGAGTCTCAGCCTCTTCCACGGCACAGTTGGTACCTCCTCTTCACGTTTCCCTCCAGACTTGTTAGACTCAAAACAGCCTGTCCCCACAACAAACATTCCCATGAGATGGTGCTTCTTAAGTCCATAATGAAAAATAAAATGTTCTCATCATTTATAATGTTAAATAACATTGAAATCTAATATATATACAGAAAATAGAAGAAATAAAATAGAAAATAGCAGGAACGAATTTTTTTTTTTTTATTTAAGAGGAAAAAGAGAAAAACACAAAACAAACCAAAGCGGCGTAAGGGTACACGCAATACAGAACTACAAAACAAAACAAAACAAAACAAAACAAAAAACCATAACAGTAAGAAATTACCTGCTAGTAGATTACACACTATTTTCTTGAAAATAGTTCCTCAAATCACAGTATCAAAGACCACAAGGTGGACATTCAAACAGGGAGACTGCAAACAGCTGTGTTCAATGTTCCAAAAACATTGATAAAGTCAGCTATTTAACACCCCCAAACACACTTGCTGTTATATCCATTAGAGCTCCTTTTCTTTTTTTTTTTTTTTCCCTCTCTTTTTTACAACAAAATTTACACATCTTGGATTTTATTACTCCTTAGTGCTTATTACTTTCTTTGGGGGGGGGAAGAATATAGTCAAATATGGCAAAACAAAGCTGTCAGTCAATACCAAGGATAGACGTAGCACATGGTGTAGAACAGAGTACAAGTTTATCAACAATGGTTATCAACGTTGTCCCTTGTTTCCTTAAAAAGAAATGTCTATCTTATTAGATATTATAAAGTTGGACAAAACAGTAGAGAACAAGACCAATAAAACTTAGGCATTGTAAACATTACAGGACTTCCAAAGAAGACAATAGTCAAACCAGAATGGGTATCTTAGTGAATCTTATTGTCTTCAAAGCAGTTGCCTATGTCTTCAAACTTGATACTATCATATAGAATAGAACAGAGTCTAATCAGTCAAAACAAGATCGTGGGAGTACTACAGGACTTCAAAACAAGTTAATAGGAAATCGAAAAGAGTTACTATTTATATATCCTAATTTTTTTGAATTTTTTCTTTAAGACAAACATAAGAAATGACTAAATAATTTTTTTTTGAAACAATAAGGGGGAGATTGAGATAAAACAGGACATAACAATATAACAATAGAGGTCACAGCATGACTGTTTCAATAACCTAGTACTTCACCACCTTATAACCTGACTTAATAGTAGTTACCATAGTGTCTTTTTCCTTGAAATATTTGGGTAAAACTTCATATACTCTAGCTTCAAATATTTTCATATCAAGAAGCCCAGAATAAAGCCTTTCTAATTAATGAGTGAAAACTTTATAAGGCTTCAAGGCCACCTAATGGGGAATCATGATTACCACATATTTTTATATATTTGAATCATTACTTACATTAGGGAAACTATTCGGTATTCACACATGCGAGATTGATTTATTTCACTTATGAGTATGGTCTCAAGCTGTGCCCATTTATTGATAAATATCTCAATGTGATCCTTCTTTATAGCTGAATAATACTCCATTGTATAGAAATACCACAACTTTTTTATCCATTCCTCAGTTGATGGGCACTTGGGAGGAACGAATTTTTAAAAACAAACTTCCTCTGGTCTGGGGATATAGCTCAGCAGCACAATTGCCTGCCTGGCAAGCACAAGATTGTGAGTTTGATCCCTGGTACAAAAAACAAAAACAAAAAAAAAAACCACTTATTAAAATGTGACACAAAAAATAAAATGTGACACAACAGCTGGGTGTAGTGTCACTTGCCTGTAATTCTAGCACTTTGGGAGACTGAGACAAGAAGATTACAAATTTGAGCCTAGCCTGGGAAATTTAGTGACTTAGAATGATAGTTTCTTAGCTGGAAACTAAGAAAGAATGGTGGTGGTGCAAGCCTGTAATCCCAGCACTCAGGAGGCTGAGGCAGAAAGATCACTGAGTTTGAGGCCAGCCTGGGCTACAAAGTAAATTGAAGGGTCAGCTTGAACTGTGTAGTAAGACCCTGTTTCAAAGACTTCCCCCTAAAGAATACAACGTAAGTATAGTAAAGAAAAGAAGATGTAAAGAAACTGTGTGTCACCATCCAGGGGGCTGTGTCACTGGATGAGCTGCTCCTTGCCCCTCCCATCCGTCACTAGATCTGCTCTCTAAAGGCTACCGTGTTCTTCAGTTTTATCTCATAAGTGCATTTCACTATTTTGTGTCATTTTTTCTTTGAGACAGAGTCTCATGTAGTTCAGACTGGTCTGGAACTCACGGTGACCCTCCTGCCTAAGCCTCCTAAGGCCTAGGATTATAAAGTGTGTGCCACATGCCCACCCCTCCTTCCATTATTTTTTAACAGTAAATGACTGAATGAATGAATAGGGATCTATCTGGGGTCTGGCTCTTTTCCCTCAGCATTGTTAATGAGATTTACTGATCCTTTTCATTAGCATTAATTGTGTGTCTTTATTAGTTCATAGTATTCCATGATGTGAATGTGCCACGATTTTTCATTCTAGAGTTGATGGATATTTAGGCTGTTTCTTGTTTGGGGATTGAAGTGAACTGAATGATGGCTCTCCCGAAGATATGTCTGTCCTAGTCTTTGCACCTGTGAATGCTACCTTGTCTAGATTCAGATCTTTGCCAGTGTAATTAAATTGAGGATCTTGAAATAGCGTGGTCAGCCTAGATAATCTGTATGCACCCTAACTCTGAAGACAAGTACCTGGCCAGGTGTGGTACTGCATGCCTGTAATCCCAGCACTTGGGAGGCTGAAGCAGGCAGATCACCTCAAGTTTGAGCAGCCTGGGCTACAAAGTGAGTTCAAGAACATTCTGAACTACTTAGCAAATCCTGGTTTCAAAAAAGCAAAAATCAAAACAAGCAATCAGGCAGCCCTGGGAGTGTAACTTAGGGGTAGAGCACTTGCTGGTAACAGGCAAAGGCCTGGTTCTATCCCCAGTGCCACATTTAAAGAGGAGGGAGAGAAAGCTTTCCTAGTACCCAAGATTACAGCAGGCACCACCACCCGCAGCTCATTCTTCCTCTTTTATGGTGAATTGGCTAGTGAGTGTGTCAGGCATGTAGTGATAGCCAACTTACAGGGGCATCCATAAACCTAGGGACACCCACAGTCAGCAGGAGCTGAAAGAGACAAGGTGCAAAGTCATTCCTGGACCCCAGGCCCTGCGTACACCTGGATTTCAGATTTGAGAACCTGTAGAGAACACATTTCTGATATTTTACACCAAGAGGATGGTGGTGTTTCACAGCAGCCCCAGGAAATCTATTCAGGTCTCCTTGGGGTGAAATTGCTATCCATTCTCGGGTGTCCTTTAGGTACGGGTACCTAAGAATGCATATACTCCACCCAAGAGGGGAGAATGGGTCCCTGGGCCATAGGTTGAGTACATTTGGCCCTGAGAGAGTTTAACAAACAGTTCTGGAGCGGCTACACCAGTTGACACTCCCACAGTCTGGCTTTTCCACATCAGTGTCAGTCCTGGGCCTGGCAATCTTATGTTTTGCTCTTGTGGTGCGCGTGTGGGCCATGGTTTTAATTTGATCCCCTCAGTACTAGTGAAGTTATATGCTTTTTCTGAAGGATTTTGGCTGTTTGTGTATTGTCTTGGTGATGTGCTGATTTATATCTTTTGTGCATTTTTTCTTTTTTTCTGTGTTTTTATTGATTTTTGTCTGCTTATTGATTTGTGAATATATATCCTTTTGTCAAAAGAAAGGTAAGGCAAATACCTTCTCTCTGTGGCTGGCCTTTTCATTCTCTTGATTCTTTTCATTCTGTTGGTGTTCTTGATGAAAAGAAGTTCCTCATTTCAATGAAACCTGAGCTATCAGTTTTTTTCTTCATGTATAAGTGCTTCTGTTCTGTTTAAGAAATCTTTGCTGCTCCAAAGTGATAGTCATGAACATATTCTCCTTTATAATTTTCTGGGAGCTTTATTGCTTCACTTTTTCTATTGCAATTAGCAAGCCACCTAGAATTAATTTGTATAAAGTTAATTTACAAAAATTAAATCGTGGGGCTGGGAGTGTAGGTTACCAGGAAAGCATGTTCTTAGCCCATGTGTTTGGTCTCTAGCACACACGCACATATACACATGTACAAAAATAAAGTAAGGTTCTTATATAAATGTAAAAACGAACATGTTAAATTTTATTTACTGTAAGTGAGCTGATGAGGTGATGCATCCTGTTCAAAAGTGAACCCACAGGACAAACACATTTATAAATCAGGAATATTGAAATGAGTACACACAGGGCCAAACTGTCCTTTCCATCCCAGGAGTGGGCCAGTGTTCCTCTGTTGGGCAGTTTGTTTCCTGAATTTTGCATTGTCTTTGGTTATCTATAAGTTGCAGTATTGTGAGATAGCTGCCATAGAATAACAAAATCAGATGACCCAGAGAATGTACTACAAGTAATGCAATTTTCCACAAAACACCAAAATTTCCCTTCCATATAGTATTAGGTGAAGTCAGCATTTCTGTTTTTGTTGGTGAGCTGAGGATATAACTCATCAGCAGAAGTACCTTCCTGGTAATCACAAGGCCCTCAGTACCAAAAAAGCTAGATTTTGTTTTTTGCCTGTCCCCTAAAGCTCATGCCATTTATTTAAAGTCTCAGCTTTCCCCCACATTTCTTTTTATTTTTTTTTTAAATCAGTTCCAGGCTTGCAAGGCAGGCGCTTATGCTGCTGAGCTAAATCCCCAGCCCTCCAATTATATTTTCATCTTCATTTTTAAAATCAGTTTGTTCATTTCTTGAGTGAAAATTCCTGTTTACGTTTTGATCTACTTTGTGTTGAATTTGTAAATTAACTTGGAGACCTGTGACATCTTCACAAGACTGAGTCTTCCCAGTAGTGAACATGGGTGTCCTTTTATTCAGTTTCTCTCTGTGCGTGTACTTTAGAGGCCTTCTATGAGAAGTGATCAGAATTTAACCTTTTTTTTTTTGTGGTACCGGGGATCAAACACATGACCTCACACTTGCCAGGCAGGCACTTATGCTGCTGAGCTAAATCCCCAGCCCTAGAATTTAACTTTTTAAAAATTAATTACATAAAAGATACATTGCTATTAGTCTGCCTCAGAAGAGTTCCATCATTCTTACCAGTTTCTGAAATAGTTACAGAAGTCCTCCTTCCTGTCTTTACAAGATGTAATCAAAAATACAGTGAATACTGCTACCAGTGACATCCAAGAAAGATAGGCTCGGAAAAACATGACGGTGTGTCCTCACTCAGTTATCACAGATCTGTCACAGGGCGACCTACAGCGGCTCCTCAAAATGAATTGTTCTGAATCAGGAACATCAGGCAACCATGAAGCACAACTAAAGACACTCTCGAAAGAGGACTTCCAGAGCTGCCCCAAGAAGGATAGGGTAAGTGTGTGTAAAGAAAAAGGGGTGTTTGGCTGGGGTTTAGCTCAGTGGCATAAGTGTCTGCCTGGCAAGCACCAACTTGTCAATTTGATCCCTAGTACCAAAAAGGTGGGGGGGGGGGTTGAGGGAGATTTCTATCAAATATGTTTTATTATAATGAATTAAATGTTTTTAATATGCACCATGTTTTTAAAACACTGTCTCTTTTTCTAGATTTATTCCCAGGTAGTTGGTTTTTTTTATGCTATTGTAAATGATATATCAATTCACAATGTCATTTTTTTCTTTTAATTACCTTTAGTAATTTGTGAAACATTTCAGATCTTAGGGGGAGGCGGGCAGTTACCGTACACAGCACAGTGTTTGATCCTGTCCTTCATTCTCTCCTTTCTCTCCCTTCTTGACACGGCACCACCCAGCGAGACCCTTAAGATCCCGCAGGAGTAACAGCTGGGTCTCCTGGAGATCCCCGGGAGCTCTGGAAAGCACCTCTCCATTATCCATCAGTACTTCTCCCTCCTCATTCCCATTCACCCCTGCTGCTTCACTTCTGAGCCTTCCTGCCTTGAAACGCAACTCACACAGTATAAAAGTGACCTCTCCCTCTCGCCATTCCCTCCCTCTCACTCCCTCTCCCCCTACCCCAGGCTGAGTTTGAGTTTGACCATCCTCCTGTGTTAGCCTCCCTGGCTATGGAGAGTATAGGTGTGGGCCACTTCCAGCAGAGTGTTTCTTCTTAAATTGAACCCTTTGATTTATTTTGAAGTTTGTTGTTTGTTTCTTTTGAAATGGGATCTTGTTATATTGTCCATGCTGGGCCTGAACTCTTGATCCTCCTGCCTCAGCCCCCAGGTAGCTGGGATCATAGAGATGTGCCTTATATTGTTTCCCATAGTCCACCTCCCCCTCCACTTTGTGGTTAACCTTTTAAGGTGATCATTATGTTTTATTTTTACAAGGCCAAAAATACCTTTTGTTTTCCCTTGCTTTTAAGCCTAAAATGTCTCCATCCCTTTGGATATAAGATACTTATATTTTCAAATAGTCTTTTCTTGCTTGAAGGTTTTTGTTTGTTTGCTTATTTGTTTTTTGTTTTGTTTTGTTTTTTGTCTGAGACAGGATCTTACTATGCAGTACAGGCTGGCCTTCAGCTCACTTTGTAGCCTGTGCTGGTCTCGAACTTGCAACAATCCTCCTTCCTCAGTGTCCCCCCCCCCCCCGAGTGCTGGGATTTATAGGGCTGCTTAAAGTTTTATCACTTCATGTGTTAATCTTTTTGCAATTTGTATTGGCACATGATGTGGTATAAATGTTACTTTTAAAACATAATTCATCAAGCGCCTGATCCCTACTGAATTTAATCTCCTCTATCAATTATACTGATAAAAAATACTTTTCCTCCTCTTCCTTGTTCTTCTCCCTCTTTTTTGTTTTTTGGTTTGGTTTGGTTTTAGTTTTTCACTGGTACAGGGGACTGAACCTAGTGCCCCTGCACTGAGCTACAGCCCCAGTCCTTAATACTATCTTTTACAAAATTTTTAAATTTTACTTTAAAGAGAATAAAACCAAACCAAACAATACAAAGCCAATCAAAACAAAACAGTAAAAGTGACATAGGACCTCAAAACAGAACAGTAGGTAGGAAATAAAGGATGGCCACCACAATGTCCCCTGCCGTCCTCAAAGTAGCTGCTTATGTCACCAGACAGAATAAAAACAAAACAGAACAGAATAAAACCAGGCAAAACAAAACAATGAAAGCAACACGGGACTTTAAAACAAGATAATAGGAAATCAACACATTATTTTTGAGACAGGGTCTTGCAAAATTACAATAAATAAATTCTCTAGATTGGGCTCAAATTTGTAATTCTCTTGCCTCAGCCTTTCAGAGTGCGGAAATTATTATAATTACAAATTCTTTTTGAAACATCTAATCTGAAAAAAAACCTAGTCTGAGTGATCCTAATCATTTTATTCTGTAAGGTTTGGTCAGTTCAGCTGGGCATGGTAGTGCATGCCTGTAATTTCTGCACTTGGGAGGCAGAGGCAGGAGGATCCTTGCAAATTCAAGACCAGGCTGAGCTACAAAATGAGCTGAAGGCCAGCCTGAACTGTGTAGTGAGACCATCCCAAAAAGTAACAACAACAACAAAAAAATTGGTCAGTTCCTGTCTTTCTGTAACCCACATGAAAGAGAAGGCATCCTCTGTTAGTTGGTTTTAAATACCCTATAATACTTTCATTCTCTTGAATGGTTTTACACTGTCATATTGTGTTTGATGCTATACTATACCAAGTTATACTCAAATATTTCAGGGAGGGAGACACTATGGTAGCTACTGTTGTGTCGGGTTATCTTGTGGTGAAACACTATGTTGCTTAAATTGTTCTATTCTGGCCTGTGTTATTTTATGTCCTCTTCCTCCTCCTTTCTTTTAATTTTTTTAATAAAAATTATTAAATAGCAAAAAAGAAAAAAAAGAGAGAAGGCATCTATGGTAGATGAGAGGGAAGGGCTCCCTGGGCCTCTGTACCACTGATTCCTAGGAAGAGAGAATTTCTGAGGGGCTTGCTCATTTCCAGGCTGAACTACACTTAAATTACCCCCACGGGCATTCACAAACGGAGGAGGAACTCCAACGTATCATTTTTGGGAACTTTTAAAATTAAACATTATCAAATATCCTTTTTGTACTAGGAAGGATCTTTACAGACTTTGATCCAAAACCAGAATAGGTCCTATTGTTTAAGGACTCAGCCAATAGGATGAAAACAAAGAGGACCAGGGGCATGATTCAGTGGCAGTGCACTTTCTAGCGTGGGTTAGGTCCTGCGTTCTCTCCCCAGCGACACTCATTCAGGAAGATGTATGAAACCTCACAAGCTGTAAAAAGTTTTATGCAGATAATAATTATGCAAAAGGAAACCAAGGTGAATCCTGCAACCGCAGTTTCTCCTGTCAGCATCTGTGGCCGTTATGGGCAGGCTGGCTCAGCAGAGCCTGCAGAGCCTGCAGGGGGCCTTGGTCTTCAAGCTCTCTGCGAGCTAGAGTCACAGGAGTGAAGGGGGCTGGGTGGCCCAGGCGGAGAAGGCGATGCGCAGGGGGCCTGCAGCCGGCAAGGCCACAGATGCAGAGCCACGTAATGAGGAAGTGGGGAGCTGGGGCGTCCGGTCCATCGTGTGTGGTGGGACATCAGGATACAAGGGTGCAGTTCATGGAAGCCTCGACCCTGTGGCAGGAGCGTGTGTCTGAAGGTCACACTGGCGCTTTGGAAAGGTCAATAGCCGAGGTGAGGAGCTAGGGGGGTCACTGAACCGGGCTGCTGCGCGATGCTGTGGGCAGGTTCTGGTGGCATGGGAAAGGTGGGGAGTCACCCAGCAGTCGGCCAGGCTTTGTGCAGCACTCTCTGTGTGGATCTTGAAGACACAGCCAGCTGGCACAGCTGTGTGCAGCGAGACGCAAACTCCGGGGGAAAGCAGCAGGCGCCCTGAGCTCTGGGGACCTTTGAGCGCCCCCAAGAGGTGGCGGAGGGCAGGTCGTTGGTGCTCGAAGGAAAACCTGGAAATAAGGTTGTTTACTTTGTCAGCCCCCAGAATCAAATCAGGAGAAGAGAGAGGTACCAGCCAGCAGCCGCTGTGGCCCGGATGCGATTGTCCCCCAGGAGCTCATGGGTCGGGAAGCTCGGTCCTCACTGTGAGGGTGTTAGGAAGGGCTGGACCTGGTGAGAGCTGGGGCCTATGGGAGGCACCGTGGTCACAGTGGGCATATCCTGCGAAAGGAACCCTTAGGGAATCAGCTGGCCCATGGATCGCTCTCCCTCTCACACCGTTCCACTTCGGTGTGCACTCTGATGCAGCTGAAGGCACTGGGCTCCATGGGGTCTTCTCCTCCAGCAGGGTCAAAAAGGTTGTATTTAAGTTTCTATCTGTGAGTAGTATTGTAAAGCCAGGAGGCCAGGCTGGGGACTCTGAGCCTCTGAAAATGGTACCTGAACCAACCTTCCTTCTCGCCTTCCTTCTTTCCAACACTGGGAATTAAATCCAAGGAACACTACAGTGCTTCACATTCTTTTATTTTGAAACAGGGTGTCATTGAGTTTACCAAGCTTTCTTTTTCTTTCTTTCTTTCTTTTTTTTTTTTTTTTTTGCAGTACCGGGGATCAAACTCATGACCTCACGCTTGCCAGGCAGGTGCTTATGCCACTGAGCTAAATCCCCAGCCCTACCAAGCTATCTTTGAATGCACAGTCCTCCTGCCTCAGTCTTCCAAGTAGCTGAGATTACAGGTATGTGCTACTGTGCCTGACCTAAATCTCTTTTCTTTATAAAGTATCCAACCTCATGTATTGTATTATAGCAACAGAAAGAAGACTAACACAGTGTCTTAGTATATGAAAACTGAGGAGGAAGCCACATAAAAGTTAATTCCAAACAACACCATCCTTGTTCACTGAAGACCACACAGCAAAATATATCATAAGTGTGAATGAGCAGGAAAAAATTCAATACATATACATCGTATCAATGTGTGTAATTTCCTTGTGCTTTTTTTGGTCTGTTTTTGTATAGCAATTCTGAACTACTGATCAAAGTCTAATTTTTATTAGAAAAATGTAAGTGTGTGTCTGGACTTCATCAACTTCCAAAGGGTAGGACCATACCTAAACATCGTTTTCCAGAGCTCTGCATTCAGTGGATTGAATTAAATTGACCCTGATTCATTCATTTTTTTCCACGAAGCAGGAGTCCAGATTTGTCTCCAAACCAACCTTAAGTCACCCATCACAGCTCACATTGGACAAATCACAAAAGTCCTCATTCCTCTATCATTCCTAATTCTGTTATCTTGCATATATGCTTATTTCCTGCTTTTGTAAAGAAAAATCCTATCACAGTTACATCCATGTGAAAGAGCCCAACACAGAGACAGAAAGGACTAGTGTGGAAATATAGTGGGCACTTGGGACTGTCAGCAGGTCATGCAGTCACCTGCCTCGTCCTGCAGGACCACTACCTCATTCTCTCCAGAGATGGCACGGGACCATCTATCTCCATGGTCTCCTTCATCTCTGAAATCCTTTGAACTCTACCTTGATGGTAAGGAGGGCTTCCAATGCTTAGCTACCTCTGATCACCAACCTTGGGTCAAAATGCTCCAAAAAGTCAGGGAGTTAGTTCTGCATAGTGTGGCCGTGCTCATCAGAGGTGAAGCAGGGAGTAAGGTAGCACAGGTTGGCACTGGTAGGTGGCAAACATGACCTGTAAGTCTGAAAGTGGTGCTGGGAAGACTGCCCCACTAAGGAAGGGGCACAGGGTCTGGCAGCCTGAAGATCACTTGAGTCTGAAGCTGATACAACAGAGTGACCCTCACCCCGAGGGGCCTTTGAGTGAATCAGTGCCTTACAGGCAGCACTGAGAAGGATTCACCCCAGTGAGGGGAAAAAGCCATTCTCAGAGCGCATCCAGGTTGGGGGCCCCTGGGCCAGGCAAGGATGCTCCTTGTTAATGTCTCCCTGCTGTCTTTGCTTGAGATGTGGAAAGGTGCACATCGGAAGACGACCCTAACACCCTGAGACATGCTGGAGACAAGGAGAGACCTTTGGAATAGAAAAGAAATCTTGGTCATGTAGTTTCATGTTGTTTTCTGATTTTTTTTTTTTTTTTCCCTGTGCTGGAGCCTGAACCCAGGCCTTTGCCTGGAGCTATATTCCCAGTACTTTTTATGTTTTATTTTGATTCAGGGCCCTGCTAAGTGGCTAAACTGCCCAGGCTGTGTTCAAACTTGCAGTCCTCCTGCCTCAGTCTTTCCTGATGCCTGAGATTACATGCAGACACCACTAGGCCCGCTTGAGTTGCCTGTTATTTCTGGTTTTTGCTTAGCGGTGTTGGGGATCAGGCCGAGGGCCTTGTGCACTGCGTAAGCAGTCTGCCTCTCTCATTCCCAGCCCTCTATCTCTTTTTTAAAACATTAAAGTTTCAACTTTATGAGTTTAGAGCTTTAGAAGGTTGGCTAAAGGGAATTCAGGGAAATTCTGCTGCCTGGCTCTGGAGGAAGGAGGTCTGTTCACCAGCAGCCCTGGGGTCCGTTGATGTTATGTCACCCTGGGATGCAGCGATGTTCTTATATCAGCACAGGCTCAGCCGCTACTGTGACCCCTGACCATCTAGAGCAGTCTCTGGACCCTCCTGTTTCCAAAAAGAGTCAAGGCTGCCCAGAAAACCATAGTGAAGTTAAGCTCATACACCATGAGCACGGGAGGCAAAGCGGGGACCAGCGCAGGGGCAGGAACAGTGGGCTCGGGAGAGCTGGCTTGAGAACTCAATGCAGCTGTCAGACCCGTGCTGCGCAATCCTCCTATCGGTAGGACAGAGCGTCTGAAGGGATGGACCATCATCAGCTTCCCGGGTCACGCCAGAGAATCACCTCTGGCCACTGCTGTGAATGCTGCTTGAACCTGGCCTCGTAGACCCTGTCCAGGGGACATTTCCAAGTGCTCGGTCCATCGGACCGTGGAGCCCCAGGTCCCCACAGCTGCTGTGCACGTGTTCGTCTCGGGCAGTGCTGGGGACGGAGTCCCGAGTTCCCGCACGCTGGTTAAATGTTCTGCCCCTGGACCTGGCTCCAGCCCGGTTTCAGCTTTCTAAGGAAAGGTGGCGATCCCAGGACACAGCTAGCTGGGAAACGCGGGAAGAGGTGTCACCGGGCCAAGGAGGGCGTGAGAAGATCTGAGGAGTTTCTTCACTCGCCCCCAGGCAGCAAGTGGCCACCGCCCGGGAACTGACCTGAGCCACATTCCAGGGACGGCTGGGATAGTGCAGCACGTGGAAACCTGCAGGCCTCCAGATCCCGCGCGGCCGGCTGGAACTCCGAGCTCGGAGAGGAAGAACTCCCACCTCCCACGCGCTCCTCTGCTCCGGTAGCCAAAAAGAAGTTACCAAAATGTAGGTGCGGCTACTCGGTACGGAGTTCAGGTTTCTTCTGTGTCCAAGTTTGCTCAACAGCGCCGCCCGCTGTCTCATAAGTGTCAGAACTGGCCAGTGCCCACCTAGGAGAGCCTTGCAGGTTTGGGGTGAGTCTCCAAACCTGCCGCTGGAGGGCAGGATGCCTCCGACCTGCTGTCTCTTCCTTGATCCCTTCCTGCCCCACTCCAACCCCTCTCCAGCAAAAGCCGCCGCGTTCCTCCCACAGCCTTGTCATCAGTGTCCAGCTGACCTGACATGCTGGACCAAAACACCCCTCGCCCCACCCCCACCCCCACCTCCACCTCCATAGACTCGGCTTCCTGCTGAGCAGAGACAGCTGGCCGCTCAGGTTCCGGTAAGGGCAGGCCCTACGAGTTCTCCTGGAGGACATAACTTTAAAAGATATTTTATTTATTTATTTATTTATTTGTTGTACAGCCGGGTGTGGTGGTGCACCCCCTTGATTCCAGCAATCTGAAGACTGAGGCAGGAGGATCACAAGTTCTAAGCCTGCCTAGGCAAGTTAGCAATTTAATGAGACCCTGACTCAAAATAAATAAAATGGCTGGGGTGTAGCTCAGTGCAAAGGACCGGGGTTCAAAGTCCAATGCCTTGCACGGCCGATATGTACATATATTTCCTCACCACGACTTATAAAAATGGACTTTTTACCCCCATTTTACGCAGGGCAAAGCAGAGGCTGCGGGGGTAACAGTTAATTCACAGGTGCAACTCCCTTCAAATCATAATCCCTAGCACAAGGCTGTCCTTTTTCTAAAAGTTGCAATGAAATGTAGAAAAGCTATTTTTTCTGAACCACAAATACACCCTGCCACCACCCAGTCCACGGAGCTTCACCCGGGATCCTGCTAAGTCTCTGAGCTCGGGGCGAGTGCGGGGATCGCGGCGGGCACCGTGCCTGGGCTGCGGATCTCCTGCCTCCGCAGAGAAGCGCAGGAAGCTCAGAGCCCGACCCATCGTGGTCCCCCACGGGGCCCCAGGAGGCGTCAGGGCAGAACGCTGCATCCGCAGACCCTGGCGGAGGCTTGGCGCGCTCAGCGGTCCCCACGGGACCCAGAGGTGCGCGCCCATCCCATGTCCTGCGAGTCCCACGGGTGCCTGCAGCTGGGCGCCTGGATGCGGAGCAGAACGGGTTGGACATCCCCCCAGCACTGTGCTCCCCAACACCCACCTGAGGCTCCCTCACCACCCCTTGCTAGGCGGGGTCCCAGTGCCAGAGGGGCAGAGCCTGAAAGCCAGGGCCGCTGGGTGAGGGGGGGCTAGGAGGGGCATGGGAAACAGCCGGGATGGGGGATCAGGGATTAAAGGCGCGAGGACCCGTGGCCCTTACTAGGGGGGACCTTGGACCGGCAGGTGCCTGTTGCTGGCCAAGACTGTAGAGAACCATGGTAACAATGAACGACCCCAGTCACAGGGAAAATAAACTGCGACCTTACATGGTTGCACCACAAAGATGATGCTTTCGGAACAACACAGCCCTGCGGCACTCGGCACCCTCCCTGGCTATCACAGTAGTGATGGTTTGGTTGGTTGCTAAGGTAAACAAATTACTAAGTTCAAAAAGTGAAAATGTAGTACTGCCCATTTTAAGTCCACCCTTACAGGAAGAAAGACAAATTTAAAAGTTGCCCACTTCCTACACTACTTAAGTCACTAATGTTCAGTCTTTCATATTATTTCTCTCTTAGATGCATGTGAATTTATGTTCTTTTATCACTTACTAAATAAGTATCTCCCTTGTTAGTACCTGCTTTAATGGCTGCATAATATTCCAGAAAGCTGATACCCTTAACCACAACCTTATTGTTGGACTTTAAGTCGTTTACTTTTTATTAGATAATGCTGCATTGGATTTTTTCTTAAATAACAGGTTTTAAAATAAAAGTTAAAAAGCAAATACCATTTTGCCTTTAAAATTTCAGTCTCCATAATTATACAAACCTGTCACTGAGAATCACCTACTAATATTTTTTAAAAGTGATTTTTCAACAAAAAAGTGATTTTTTCCTAAGTGGAAAAGGAATAAAAAATTTAAATATATGAAGAAAAATGAATGTTATTCATAATCCCATCACCTAGAGATCTCTTGGAAACATATCATTCTCGACTTTATAAATATAAACCATTTAAATACAATTAGCTTACACAAATAGAGTCACATAGCACGTGTAGTTTTATACCCCATGTTTCACTTAAGGCATGAGAACTCTAATGACACTCAACTCTTAGTTTGCTGAACACCACGTAGCAGGCCCTGTCCTAAAGTGTTTCACATGTTTGTTGGTTTAATGCTCCAATACTTCTGCGACACAGTCCTGGACAGAGCTCCTCGCCATACAGAGGATGTGAAGCTACACTTAGGAAAGCCGTGACCTGCCCGGGTAGCGCAGGACAGAACGGCAGGGCCGCCGCATCACACCTGCATGCTCTGCCTTGCTTTGTCAGTCTGCTTACCTTTGCATGTCACTAAACTTAGATTTATCGCTTCATTCTTAGTAACTGTAGAGTATTTAAAAGAATAGCTGCAGGATTATTTAGTTAGCCAATCCCTTGTCCTTTAGTATTCAGATTCCAATATTTTTTACAATATTTTATAATTTTATTTTGAAGAGAATAAAATAAAACAAAGCAAAACAAGACAAAACAGGACAAAGCAGAGCAGAGTAAAATGCAAATAACACGGGATTTCAGAAAAAGACAGCAGGAAATCAACAGTGGCTGCCATAATGTCTCTTGTTTTCTTCAAAATAGCTGTCTATACCTTCACACACAATAAGTTAATACAAATCAAAATAGTGTAAAAGCGACCAAAACAGAAGAATGAGAGGGGCTTTCAAGACTAGACACTAAAAATCAATAATGGCTACCATAATGTCTGTTTTCTTCAAAAGATATTTTTTTATAAGCATGTGTACACACACTTTTGTGCACTTGTCTATTTCCAAAGAATACACTCTCAGACATGGAAGTGATGGGTCAAAGAGTAATCTCATCTTGGCAGGGCACCAACAAATTGCCCTCTTTCAAAACATGCATATCGTAAGACCTCTGGCCTCTGCTGGAGGAGTGAACCACAAGTCCTCCTGCTTTACACAACCCCTTTCCACCTACCTGCACAGAACGGCCTAGTTCCTAGCCTTCCAGTGAAAGCACCATGGCTTTGATGGGTGTGGGATGGAATGCAGGGCCTCAAGCACACGAGCTACACCCACTGAGTTACACCCCAGCCCCTTGCTGCTGGAGTCTCACGCATACCATCGTGTCCCACACGCCTTTGATTTCATCAAGACCTGTAATTCACCCACCCCAAAATTTTCCACTGTTTGTCATCCCTCTTTTATCTTTTTTAAAAGCAAGTATAATTTGGCATACAATAAACTACATACATGTGAAGCACGCAGTTTGATCATTTTTTGGTATACAGTATATATACCCCATGGAATCATTACACAAGAAGATTAAAAGACCAGCAGCACAATGTATCCTCTCCAGGACCTGGAGTTGGGACACTAAAAAGCAACAATTTAGTGAAGAAAAGAGGGAATAGGTCTCTGGGAATTAAGCACGCGGTAATAGTAAAATCAGAAACTACAAAGAAACTGGAGAAACTCAACACTGAAAAGTCTTTGTGGTCTGGCATGCTGGCCCCAGCTCCTGTGGAGAGGGTCTCCACTAACTCAAGAGGGTGGCAGCTCCAGAAGGGAAGAGCAGACTGTTGTGCTAGCCATGAGAAAAGCCCTGCCTTGCAAGCAGGCAGTCGTGAGTTCGATCCCCGGTACCGATAAAAAGGAAAAAGACAAAAAAAAAAAAAAAAAGAAAGAAAGAAAGAAAGAAAAGCCCACGGTTATCACACAGTGCAAGAACAGTTGGGGTTTTACTCTGAGAGTCACTCCTTCCTCGTGTAACAGCCTAGAGTTGGAGAGGAAATCCAGCGCAGCGCTCACCATATTTGAGAGGGTATTGTTAATAACCAGGAGCCATTCTGGGGAGATGTTAATTATTTCAGACTGAGCTACAGAACAACTGCACATCAGCATCTCTGGAATCACCCTACCACAGTGATGAATAGTAGTAGATGGCCACAAGAGACTGCTGCAGAGAGGGGGTGGCCTAAACACAGATACCCCACCCTAGAAGCTGAAACCAGACTGGGAAGAACTCAGAGTCTCACTCTCTATGATAAGAAGTCAGGCCAGTGGTGTGTGATTTGTAGAAGGGCTGGGTCTGAAAGAGCTGGCATTGAGTTCAACAGTCCGGCACCCGACCCCGGTTCTGCATCCAGCATGGAAACCAGTGGTCTGTTTGCTCTCCTCATCTGCCAGTGTGATCAGGGCTACATCTTGGCTTGAACAGTGGCTACAGTCGGGGGTGTGCAGACAGAGGGCCCTCCCAATAGGAGAGGGACCTCAGAAACACACAGGCTATAAAGCTAGGTGGAGAAAACAGTGACGCAGGACTCACAGGGGGAGCAACTGGATGAACAGTTTGCCCTAGGGTGGACACCACCGACTTCCTCACACACACCCAGCCGGAAAGGTGGAGCGGGGCTCAGCATCCACACACAAAAATGGGAGTGTGGAAACACAATAGGATTTGGTAGTGACTCACCCCACCTTCCCTCATCACTGGAGGATTCCAATGCTGCAAACTTGGAGAGAAGCCATTCATTCAAAAACAGAGGTATGAGGCCAGGAGGGGTGGCACAGACCTGTAATCCCAGCACTGAGGCAGGAGGATCCCTGTGAATTGAGTTTGAGGTTGAAGTGGGCTACAAAGTGAGTTCAAGTCCATCCTGAGCTGCATAGTGAACCCTTGTCTCAAAAAGACCAAAGAAAACCAAAACAAAACCCAAACACACAAACAAAAAACCAGAGGCATATTTTGGAACCATTTGCTTAGTTTATTCTCAAACCTAGGATAGTCTTTCATCCCACTCCTTGCTATTATCCCAATCCTAGCAACATTTCCATCTCCAAATCTTCCTAAGTCCTACTTCTTCACACAATTTTCTACAGTTGTCCCAGCCCACCCTGAGATTCTTCGTCTAAGTTCTGGACACAGTTCTTTTGTTGTATAATTGTTATGGTCTAGATCCATAATGTTCCCCCCAAAATCTCCTGTGTTTAGATATCAGGAGACTGCATCATCATCATATTTATCTATTGGTTAGAGCATTAATTTTTTTTTAATTAGTACCGGGGATCGAACTCACAACCACACACTTGCAAGGCAGGCACTTATGCCACTAAGCTAAATCCCCAGCTCCAGTTAGAGTATAATTTGATGGCCTTATTGGGAGGCAGTGGAAGAGGGGCGGGGCCTAAGGAAGTGGGCCCTGGAAGTAATCTTAGAGACCTGTCTTCTCATTTGCTCTTCTGCTCTGGCTTTCTCTGCTCTCCCTGCCTTCTGGCCAGCCATAAGGTGAGCAGCTTTGCTTGGCCATGTACGTCTGCCATGATGGTTTTCTCTTGGAGCCAGTCAACGATGGACTGCACTCCTGGAACCGGGAGCCACAATACATCTTTCCTCCTCTGAGCTGATTTCCTTAGGAATTGGGTCACAGCAATGAGAAGTTGACTATCAATATTCTGTTATAACTTTTATCACAATAAAATATTACTTAAGTTTCCTTGCGACTAAAGCCTGTCTCCCAACCATATTGTAAAGTTCTAGGGGTAGGGGAGAATGGCTTGTACCTGTTTTTGTTTTTATTTTTGTTTTTGCCTTCCCTTTGATACTCAGCTCAGAGCTTTAACATAATAGATGATCAGTAAATACATGATGGCCAATGAACATAGATATTCCCTTCTTCATGTTGTTTTCCTCTTTACTGAAAGTAAATAAAAAGAATGAATTGTTGCAATGAATAATTAGCACAGGGTTTTTGCAAAGACTAAAGCTTTTTATTCCCATTAGGGGTCATTTCTTTTCAGAAGCTACTTCTCTGAGTCCTTTGTGAAGAGGACAGCCTCACTGATGCTCTGGGTGATATAATCTATGTTGCTGGCATTGATACAGGTGAAGTTAATATAACCGTTCCTGGGAATGTAGATGTGCTTCTTCTTGATCAAGTATTGTACCTGTTGGTCTGTGATATTCATAGGATCTCAGATCCTGGGGGGCCACTTTTAATTCCCTTCAGGCCCAGAAGAGTTATATGGGATATAAAGGGTCAGCATTCCCGGGGCCACCCCACTTTTCAAAGAAAATAATAAAAATCTGGAGCAAAGCTGTGGAGTACTCACCTCGTCAGCCAAATTTAACGTTTCTGTAGAGGGATCTTAAGTCAGAAAGGGGAGAGCCAGCCCCGCCTAGGCACTCACAGTTGAGTCCAAGATAACCATGGGTCCCCATCTGCTCGGTGATGTGGTTCCAGGACCCAGGCGTTCCCAGAAGCCGCAGCTTCTCCTTCACCTTTTCCTTGATCAGCATCATGTTCTCAACAGCCACTTTTAGGCTCAGGTTCCTGTCAAGGCCGAACAACAATGAGAGTATGAAGTTGCCCTCCACACTGCTTTCAGACCTCCATGCTGCCTCTCTGTGTTCGCACCGTGCACAACCCAGACAGCCTGAAAGCATACCAGAGGGGCCTGGGCCTCAAGATGGTTGGGGGGCTGGAGCCTGCCATCGCTCACATCTTAAGAACCACCCAGAAGCCCATGTATTCAAGAATACTCAGTAGGTTCCAGCACTGTTGGGAAGTGGCGGAACCTTTAAGAAGTGGGGCTCCACGGGAAGAAGATGGGTTCATAGAGAAAGCCCAGAGGAGATCCCTCCCTCTTCCTCTTCCTCTTCCTCTCTCTCTCTCTCTGCTTCCTAGCTGTCAGGAAGTGAGCAGCTTACTCCACACATGCTCCAGCCACGACCTTGTGCTTACTACAGACCCAAGCAACAAGGCAATTGACATGGATGGAAAACTTCAAAGCCATAAACGGAGAGAAGCCATTCCCCTTTACGCTGAAGATCTCAGGCATCTTGTTAATGAGTGGAAAGCTGAGTAACATAGATCCCACATGAACTAAGCTTACAAAGCAGGCTCGTAAGCAGTACTTGCTGGAGACACACAGCTCATTGACCTGGCTCTAAAGTGAACATTCTGTTGCCACTATCACAAGGGCAAGCCTCACATAGCTTCAGCTCCTGGTGCTCATAGGCCCTCGTGAAACTTGATGAATAAGGGGAAACAGAGCCACATGGGCAGGGAGAGAAGTGACCAATCTGTAGGCACCTCGGGGCTCAGGACCCCTGCCCTGCACCAAGCCCCTGCCCTTACCACTCCTCCTGCAGCGTGGGGTTACAGAGGATGGTGGTGATGATACGGGAGCCCCTGGAAGGAGGGTTCAGCCACAGGGCCTGGGCATAGCTCAACAACTGGGACAGGACGCAAAGCAGCTGCTCATTGTTGCGTGCCACCACCACTAGGATGCCCACAACTTCATCTGCAGGGTGAAGAAGACGGCCACCCTCAGCATCCTCCTCCAGGACCAGGGCCTTCACCTGCGTGTTTCCCAACCTTGCACAAGACAGGCTGAGCCCTGGAGACTATACCCCAGCCCAGGTTAGCATCTGGTCCCAGGAAGTTGCCAGAACCTCCTCTTCTAGAAAATGTTTCCAGAAACAAGAGTCCGCGAGAAGGAAAGAACTTGAAAGATCACCAGATCCAACCCTCTCGTCTTACCATCCAGGAAACAGAAGGCTGAGCAGTTGAAATGATTTAGCCAATGTTGGGTCAGGTCACTGATTTTAATAACAGACCCTGGCGTTCAACTCACACTCTTCCCTTCTGCCTCCCTCGAGCTCTCTGGAGCCCTGGGTGCCCTCCAGAGACAGGTGATATAGGCAACACCGCCAATGCTGTGAGAACAGTGCCACTTCTGCCCCAGACTCTCCCCTCTCACCCCACCTGCTCCGTACCATAGACGCCAAAATTCCTGGACAGAAACTGGCTGCAGAAGAACTCAAAGCCCGAGGATACAAAGTATCGCAGGACTCCAGCATCTTCTTCAGGGTCACCAGTGGACAAACCTTGACAGGGGATGTCAAAAAAGGGGAATATCTGCTTGCTCTGCAGGATAAAGAACCAAAAAAGTATGAGACTGATGCAGGGGATGGCAGGAAGCCCAAGAGAGGAAGCCCAAGGGGGCCGCTGGGCTCACCTTCATGATGGACATCAGCTTTGCCCACTGAGATTGTGTCAGCCTACAGTCAATAGGGTTCCCGATCACAAGGATGCAGCCACTCGGCATCTGCTGTGGGTGGAAATAGCCTGGTCAGGTAATGCACCTTGTGGAGGGCAACCTGGATGACTCTTTGAGAGAGCAATTACCTCCATTTGGCTAAACCTGGCTCCATCTGCACGTACAGAGCTGGCCAGTTCATTTTCTTTTTCCTTCAGCTGGCTCTAAGCAATCTGAATAGGGCTGGCTGAGGTGCTGATGTGTAATCTTTGAAGCTAGGAGGTGACATTTGCTGTACCTTGGCCCCATGACTGCGATCAAAACATGGTTGAGCCTGGCGGGATGTAGAGCCAGCACTCTAGGGCTGCCAACCAGATAAAGAGGCTATGACTTCCCAGAGCAGAAAAGTATGCACATCACAGCTGAAGCACCAGCCCTCAAAACATGAAATGCTGCCTCAACTGTGCTATGCAGATTGGTCTCACTGCAAACCCTTCTCTCTGCATATTGCAGAGGTGCTTTCAGGTCTCTACCTAGTCCAGCTCAGTGTACTCACCCATCTCCCACCATTCTCACAGCCACTCTGCCTCAAACCACTCTTTTCTTCACAATTAAGAATCTGGCTAGCCCTGGGTCAAGATGTTTGATGAAGCTTCATCCTGGCCAGACTCTGGACCCCTTGGCCACCCATAATTATAAATGTGTCTTAGTGTCTTTATTCTCACCATGGGTTGCACAGGAAGTGGTAGATTGGAATTAACTCGTTAGAATTCCGATAACGTTTCCATGGAATTACAACTATAAACTTCCTGGACTGAAACAAGGATGAGAAAGGATCACTATAGTACCTTCTCTAGCAAGGGGCAAGGGAGAAGTGCCCTTCCATACTGGCTCCTACTGAAAGGCCTAGATGAACGGGGTTGGGGCAAGGAAAAAGGGCTAGGCGTCAGGTCTGGGGGAAGGTTCTGGGCTGGGGAGGGGGGCGTACCTCGGCCACTTTGAGGATCACGTTGGAGTCCATGCGCCTCTTCTTGGGGTCCCAGATGCAGTATTCACAAACTTCAAAGCCCATGTCCTGGAAGACGAGTCCGTGACTTTCTGTGGGAATAGCGCCCCCCGCCCCAGCTACGGTATAGTGGAGAGATGGAGGCAGAGATCCTGGAGACCCACGACCAAGGTCATCCTCTGCCACTGTTCTCACGCCAGAGAAAGGCGACGCGTGGAAAGACTGGGTGGGAAGGAGGAGGCGGGACGGGGACCTCCAGAGGCGCTCACCTTTTTGACAGGAGACGATGCAAACTGTGCTCGCGTCCCTGTGCCACAGCCGGAAGAACTGGGCCGCGAGCCGGAAGGCCCCGCTCTCACCTATGGTGTGCACGCCCCCTGCCTGCGAGCAATATCAACGCGAGTGTGCAAACAGTAGCACCCATTTGAGGGATCAAAGACGCGCTCGGCCGCCACTGAGTTGCCCCTCCGACCCCTGCGTCCGGATGCGTTCCGGATTGCACTTTCCGCGTCTTGGTGCTGCCAGCTGCGGGTCTGGGCCGCGCTCACCCTGTTCTCCACGATGGCCGGGCTGTGCTTGCCGAAGAGCAGCTCCAAGGAGGCCTGGATGAACGACTTCAGGCCCGGGTCTGGCAGGTACTCATAGATCAGCGACGGGTCCTGCACGGTCTGGAGGCAGATCTTGTGCACCACGGGGGAAATCCAGGGGAGGTTTTCATCGGTCATGCAGACTGAAGGAAAATGGCCAGGCGGTTTCTTGGCCCCCTCAGAGCATGTGCGAGCAACCCAGCGAAGAGGCTGCCCTGGACCCCTTGAGCTCTTCAAAGTTACAGCCCCTTCCTTTTGAGGAGCAATTCAAAGAACTGAACGCAGACCTTTGCACTGAGCTATAATACCTGACCCTTATTTCACTTGGACACAAAGAGTCTCACCAAGTTGCCCAGGCTGGTCAGGAACTAAGGTTCTCCTGCCTCAGCTTCCTGAGTCCCTAGAATTACAGGTGTGCACCATTGTGCCCAGCTAAAACCTATGTCATTTTAAAGGTTAGACGTTATATACTTAATGGGAGTTATAGATACACGGAGCTAAACAAAGACAACTTTGACTTTCACAGGGAAAAGGGCTTATTATACAGCAGATGGGTTCTTAGTGCAAGAATAACAGAGGGGGGAAGGAGTAAGGAAGGGAAGGGAAGAGAAAAGAGGGAGGAGGAGGGAGGACAGCTAGAGAAGGGAGTCCTTGCAGACGCCAAGCACAAAGCATGGAAGAGGATGTCTTTCTTACCAAATGCACAGCAGCCCCTGCAGCGGGGCAGAGCACACGGAATTACGTGGACGTTCTCCACCCACTTCCCTTTGGGCGTTCTGTGAATAAGCCCTGTTGTTCCCACCTGCACAGGCGCAGGTCCACCCAGCTTTAGCAGCAGGAAAGCGCGGTCAGCCACAGCCCGCACACAGGAAGAGCAGGTACCCGGTTACCTCTATAGACCAGCAGTATCTTGGCAGGGTCTCTGTCCTGTTTGTAGGCCGTTAGTAATCTGCTCTCCAGCTTGTGGCCCACAGGTACATCTGCAAACACTGAAAGAGTGGAGAGGACCTCAGGGCGGAGACTCGGCAACGGACCTTGGTCCATGCCCGGTGGTCCAGGCTCTGTCCTGAACAGACACTGCAAACAGCTGGTTTCCAGGGCAACAGAACCTAACGAGGCCCAGACTGTGACAGCAATGTTCTAGGATCATGGGAACATTCCATCCCTCAGGAGAGTCCCAGGGGAGCACGTGGGGCAGGGAAGGACAGAGATTCCCAGGTGCCATCCTCTACCTGGCTGCCACCTGGGCCCCAAGTCCCCCCCCCCCGCCCTGTCTACAAATGCACAGAGGAGCTGGGGAGGCAGGCTAGGCTTCCCCTGTAGAAGCAGCAATTCCAGGTCACACCACAATGCAAATCCAGTGATCAGGCTTCAAAACTTCTGCTTTCTTTCGAAGGGTCACATAAATATCCCAGATCACTCAGTCATGTAAACTGGGGATAACTGGGTTTGCTTGCTTGTGTGGGGTGCTGGGGTTAGAAGCAGGGCCCGGCACATTCTGAGCAAGTGCTCCGAGTGAGCTGTGGCCCAAGTCTCATGGGATAAATGTTAAAAACTTTTATTTTCATTTGCTAAAAGACCCAAGATTTTAAAAGCAATAAAAAGGGGCTGGGATGTTGCTCAGCAGCACAGTACCTGCCTGGTAAACTTGAGGCTCTGAGTTTGATCCCTGGTACCAAAAGCAGACCAAAATAAAAGCCTCCTTTTAAAAAGGCAATAAAAAGAATGTCCTGTATCCTTCTAGATGTCTTTTAAAGGTTTTATTTGCAACTCAGGAAGTCCATCTGTTTCTTTTTCTTTTTCTTTTTTTAATGCTTGGAATTTTTTTAATTTTTTAAAAAAGGGTGTAAATGACACTTAATTGTGTTTTCTGGTGCTGAGTCAGGGCTGAGGTGGGACACAGAAGGGATCAGAACACCTCTGAAGAAGCAGTGGCTATCTGAGCTCACGCCTGGCAGATGCTCCATATGCCCTGGAGATTAGGCTGATTCAAGGGAGCCATGAGGCCCCAGGAGTTCAGATCATTCTTTAGGGACTGTTTTTATCAGCAACCAGAGCCAACCAAGGTGTGTTTGTGAACATTCAGTGGTGGTTACCAGTAAGTGATGATCACTGAGTCCCAGGAAGACAGTCTCCCGTACAGGGTCATCTCACAGTGTGGTTTCCTTTGCTTTTGAGTAACTCCTATCTATTTTTACTTATTTGCATTAAGGATTGAGCTCAGAGCCTTCTCACTGTGCTATTTTCTTGGTTCATTTGAGTTTTTGTTTTCAGGCAGGATCTCAGTCACTAACTTGGTCAGGTTGGGCACCCCTGCAGTCCTCTCCCCTCAGCCTCCCAGAGTGCTGGGACTGCAGCCATGGGCCACCACCCCCAGTTTAAACAACTCTTTTTTTTCTTTTTTTCTTTTTTTTTTTTTTTTTGTCTTTTTCGTTTTTATCGGTACCAGGGATCGAACTCACAACTGCCTGCTTGCAAGGCAGGCGATTATGCCGCTGAGCTAAATCCCCAGCCCCTAAACAACTCTTTAAATGAGTGCTGTGGATACTGTTGGGTTCTGCCTAGATACTTTACCCGCCAGTGTACCCAGTGTCTACTCACTTGGAGAAATGCCCTTGGCTGATGGGAGTCCCCTCATCTGGAGGCCACCTGAAAGGTTACACCCTGTCCACAGGGGCAGCCAAAGGCTACCTGACTCCGGCATACAAAACCTTACCTGCTTGTCTTGGGCATCTCTGGGGCTTATTGTGCACCCCAGTGTGAACTCCCAGTGAAGCCAGGTTGGACTAGAGCTGGGACCACATTCTTGCTTGGCCTTGCCTGGCACACCCTGCTTCATCCGCCCTCTCCCTTCTCTCCCTCTCCCCCAGCTGCCCTGAGCAGCTCTGTTCCACTGCTCATTCTGACTGTGACATTCTGCTTCACCACAGGCCTAGAAACAATGAGTTAAATGACCATGGACTGCATCATCTGAAATCAAGAGCCAAGTACACTAACCCTTTCCTCTTTTAAACACATGCCTTGGGTAATTTTTCATAGCAGTGGAAAGCTGACTGCTACATACTCTCTTTTCCCAAATCACGTGTACCCTGAGTCCTCAGCGAGCTGTACTCCCAGGGAACCTGCCTTGAGGCAAACAATGATGAAAATAATTCAGATGAACAGAAATGTTTAAATATCAAACAAGTATAATTAACGGCTGGCAACATAGCTCAACAGTAGAGCACTTGCCTAACTTGCACAAGATTCTAGGCTTGATTCCCATTATCTCAAAAGAAGTTTGCCTATGTGTTGGGTGTGTGTGCGTGCATATGTGAAACTAAGAATTTACTCCATTCAATCCTCGACAGGCAGCATTTTGTTATACTTCTTCCAGTTTCTTTTCTATGACTTTTATATTTTAGGATAATTTATATCAACATTTGCATGTGATTTTCTTAAGTGTTCATATGGCTGAAAATGAGCCTAGATTTTATTTTTCACATAAATCCCAAGTATTAATGAGCACTGAATTTTCCAGGGATATTATTACCATATGTATGAATCACTGCCTTCACATTAGAGCACTAAACTAATTTCTTATATTGACCTTTAAAAATAGGAATTTCATTTCTAAATACCATCACAAAACACTAAAGGAAAGACGCCAGTCTAAACACATCTTGTTGAAAGTCTATGAAACACAAGGGGAAGTCTACAGGTGGCTTAGGAAATACCTGACCCTTAATGGGAGAGAGGAATGATGTAGTCATTTTCCTGACCCTTGAGATAAACCCTACTTGAGAAGATTGGGGAGAGGGAAAGGGATGTGGGAAGAATTAGCCATGTAATGTACATTTACCCACTGCATGTGAGGAATGCAATCATTACGCATTGCAAACGTACTCATAAAAATTTTCAAAACTAGCATAAGGCAGTACACCAAGGTTATTTTTTGAGTTACTGAAATCAAACCTTGGGACTCCTTAGTAGATATAATTTTCTTAAAGTAACCCAGTTATTGCCCTGTTTTTAAAAACTGAAATTAACCTGCAAATGGCAACCTTGATACTCATGCTAAATAGAAATCTTAGAGAACATTGTATCTAGATTCTTCTATTAGACACTTATTACACCAGTCCTATTTTTTATTTTAAGACAGGGTCTCACTATGTACCCCAGGCTGGTCTCAAATTTGAGACAATCCTCCTTCCTCAGCCTCAGGAGTGCGGGGATTACAGGTGTACACCATCACATCCAGCTAGGCCAGTTGTTCTAAATCCTGAAATTTATGTTTTTAGCCAGTGTTAAAACAAAATAAAAAACTCTGCATTTCCCCCATTCCCTTGGGAAATGTAGGAAATATGACATATCAAAGTTCTGAATCTAAATTGTAAGGCCTCATCTCACACAAGCAGAGATCATGGTGATTGTCATGATTGTCAAAAAAAAAGGATCCAGAATGAATCAAACAGAATCAGCAAGGTGCAGACATAGGCCAGCCGGTCACTAGAGTACGTCTTAAAGACATCAGGGACTTCATTTGTGTCTGTTTCAGGAGCAGAACCTCAGCTAACACAGGTATCTTAGCTTTTATAGACACAGCTCCCTCTGCCCCACGAACATGGCCCATGTCTACAAGGCCTCCACTGAAGGACACCACCTACACTCATATCATCCCCTGTGCTGTACTCTGGGCCAACAGGGGAAGCCGAGTCGCCATGTGGCCTCATCGGCCAGTCTCTTGCTGTGCTTGAGATGAGTTCAGCCCTTAAACTGCCCCCTTCATCGCAAACCAGCACTAAGTCTTTATAATGATCAGCAATAAATCACCCTAATCTTCTGTCACCTGCAGCTGAAAAATGACAGGCTGAGGACAGACTACCACGCGGTCTGTGCTGTCATCCATTAAATGATCATTAGCTAATAGTCACTAAATTTACATAAGAAATAAATTACATGTAGAATACTGCAAAAACACAATAAATCACAGTAAAAAGGCTGCCCCTTTCTGCTCAGGAAACCCCTCTACCCCCAAGCTCCATAGCACATTGTCCTTTGACTCCAAAATGTGCTGTTACAATTCCAGTTGTTCTTTCAGGGTCTTCTCTGGCAGAGGCAGGCTCCAAAGGGGCATTCCAAAGGCTCTGACGCCACCTGCTGGAGGGAGGATGCTGCCTGCCTCGCGTTTCCTCCCATCCCAGTCAGTTCCAGCCAGGAGCTCTGCATTTTGAAACTCTCTTCCTGTAGCTTGTTGCATCATCAACAGGGCATTTGTCCTGGAAATAACCTTCATCACTTAACATTTCAGTTGTGACCATTTTAACAGGTGTGCTGCAACCCATGAAGCTCTTGAGGTTCTTGGGGTGAAGGACTGTGAGAGGAAGAGAAAATAAAGAGACAAAGCTGGGGTCAGGTGGAGCCCTTACCCTCCTAATGGGGTGTTTATTTATATCTTTCAGCAACTTAATGTCACATGACACCCTGTTGTCCTAGCAACCCACTGTTGAGATTGTCTTGGGGTTAGGTGTTCTCTGGGCTGAAGCAGCATCTTCAGGTGGCTTCCCCAGGCACTCTTTATTCTTGGAATGGTCACATTCTAGCCTTGCATGTATGGTCAGTTTCCAGCTTCAATGGCTCTTAACACAGGAGCTCTGATGACAAATTCTTATGCTGCAAATGACAATGCAACAACAATAGTAATAACCCATCCCCAAGAAACCAGAGCAAGAAACAACAGAGTCAGAGAAAGAGGACACAAGATGAGCATGAATTCTGGCTCCCTAGAGGCATGTATATCCGACCTCAGTCCCAGCTCAGCCCAGCGGCCCAGGTGTTACTCGGGATCCAGTTTTGTTCTTTGTGGCTGTCTTGGCTCTGAGCCCTGAGCTTCACTTTGGTTCTCTGGCTGACTGGGCACAAGAGCAAAATCGTACATGGAAAAGGAGCAAAATGCACATTTTCAGGGCTGACTCTGCAGCTTGTGACGATGCAAATGCAAAACTGATGCCAAGCTCTGGAGGAATGTGTAAGGGAGTTGTGGATAACAACGCAAGGGAATTCTGTGCAGCCACAGGCAGCCCT